AATCCCTTAAATCTTCCCTCTTGGCCCTCACTGCTCTATTAGAACTGCTTGGGAAAAGGGCAGCTGTTACCTGCTAGCAGACAAACCCACTGGTCTCGTTTCAGTCATAATTCTACTTAACTTTCTGCAGGATGTGACCTTACTATCTCCATTCTGAAATTCTCTTTACCCTCTGTCTTCCAGGCATCGCTTTTTGCTGCTTCTCTTCTTTGCTTTCTAATTATTTCGTCCCCTCGGTGTCCTTTGCTGATTCTTCTGGTTGCCTCCTAAATACTGCAATTCCCAAAGACACTATTCTTGGCCTTTACCTCCCACTGGACACACTCTTCCTGGGGGATCCCAAGGTTTCTATAACTGTATACATGAAGATGTCCCTCAAATTGGTTAACTTCAGCCTCAACCCCTCCTGCTTTCATGTGTGTGTGTTTGTGTGTGTGTATGCACAAATAATTAGGTAATCCTCTACTTAAAAACCTCTGTTGGCTCTTTGTTGAAACGAACTTTTCATCATCGTCACTCCTCCTTTCCATTCTCCATTGCATGCATTTGCCATCATTCTTTGTGTTTTCCACATAAACTACTATTCATCCTTCAAAACACAGTTCAAATGTCACTTTTATCATGAAAACTTTCTTCAGTTCTCCAGGCATTTTATTCCTCTTTTAGCACTTTCTACATACTCATACCATAGCATTTATATTATGTATATTCTGTTTTCCTCATGAGACGCTGAGTTCTTGAGGGCAAGACCTATGTTTTTTCCATCTTTGCCCTCCAGGGTTCAAGCACTGTTGCCTGACCCCTACTATTTAATCAACAAATAGTTGGATGAATACTGTTTTCATTTGTTTGCATTATGTCAATTTTTTTAACTAGATTTGAATTGCATATATATACATATAATATATATATTATATATATATATACATATAATATATATAATAACTTTATTACAGACAAAACGGGGTTGAGTCAGCTAGTCTAAGATGCTGACACTTAGAAATAAAGACTGAGAAAGCTCATGGGAAAGAACTCATCCTGAGGGAGAAAGAAGTAAACAGCTTAGAATGAATGACCTGCTTGACCTAGTAAAAATAATGAAACAAAACCAAACAGAAAACCCCAACAGATTCTGACCATCAAAAAAGGGAGGAGGATACTGAATGCTACATGGGTTTGTCTTTGGGCCTTGGTGCATGGGGCCAAATCCTATGGAGATCAAGAGGACTGTAACTTATACCTGAAAGCTGTTTTTCTAAAAATGTCTGTAAGACCTTGAGGCATAAGTAGTATATTATCTTGGTACACTGGTGGAGTGTCAGACTGCACATGGGTGGAGTGTCACACTAAAAGAAGAGAGAGGCATTTCTTCCCACTTTGCCACTGACAGCTCTCAAGCTCTGGCTGAAAGCAGGAGGGTGCCAGGTGCCGTAGCAAACAGCAAGCAAGGAAATGCAGGCTATTTTAGATGAAAGCAAATGAACAGTGGCTACTGTGAGGTAGAGAGGCCTAAGAAATGTGGGTTTGGTTTTGTTACAGAAATATTTTCCCTAATATTAAGACTTAAGAGTTTGATTTTTCCAGTTGGCTATTGTTGTTTCCTGTCTCCTCTCTGTTCTCAAATGGTAAATTATATCTTCTCATTTAGGCTTACCTGGAGAATTCCATGGACAGAGGAGCCTGGTGGGCTCCAGTCCATGGGGTCACAAAGAGTTGGACATGACTGAGCGACTAACACTTTCACTTTTTCACTTTCATTTGCTGATCCATAAAACTAGGATCATGTGTCTCCTGCATTTCTTCTGCTTATCCAAATTTAATTTTCTTAGTTGCCTTGTGTATTTCTAAAACTAAATTACTTTTATTCTGTTTCCTGGTTTCATGTCTGTAATGCTCTTCTTGTGTATGTGTGTTTTTAATGTCTAGAACTATATATCAAAATCTAGTCATAGCCAAAATAGCTCAGATATCTATCAATTGCTGAGAAACCTGTTTATACTTACAGTGGGCAGAGAAGGAAGAGGTGGGGCTGATTAAAAGATAAGCATGTTCGAAGTATCTATAGATATTCAGAAGAAAAAAAAAAGGATGTGGCATTGTGTATATATTTTAAGTGTGGTTTTTACTCCTGCAAGGTTTTCTTTATGAATTTCTTCTTCCTCCAAAGCATATCGTTGACCTTATAATGACAAAGTTAAGAATACTGATGGACAATTCTTTACAAAGTAGGTCATAAACATATGGGACTTATTACCTTAAGTGCTAACAAAGGCTGTAACAAAGAGAGTCCAGAAACATTTAGCCAAATTCATAGGTGATAGAAACCGAAATGTTCCTTTCACCCTCCAAATTTATAGAAAGTGTAGTCTATATTTTAGACAGTAAAGAAACCCACCAGCAATGCAGGAGACCTAGGTTCCATCTCCCGGTCAGAAAGATCCCCTGGAGAAGGGAATGTCTACCCACTCCAGTATCCTTGTCTGGAGAATTCCTTGGACAGAGGAATCTGGCAGACTACAGTCCATGTGGTCACAAAGAGTAGGCCATGACGGAAGTGACTAACACATATTTTAGGGAACATAAAGGCGAGAGGGTAGGGGATGTGGGGAATTAGTCTATGTCCCGTACTACATAAACACATGATTCCTATCTCATCATGGCACATATAAGATTGCACTGTTTTTTTTTAATTAAAATGTTTTTACCTGAAGTACAGTTGATTTACAATGCTGTGTTAGTTTCTTGCATTGCACTTGTATCATGTGGATTATATGCATGTTTTCTCAAATGGTCTGTGAGCTCGTCAAGGCAAATGTCCTATTTGATGTTACATCCTCAGTACCTAACCCAGCATGTGATGCCCAGGGGACAGTCAACAAAATTGTTTAATTCTGAATGAATACTATCTACCCCTAGAGCCTCACCATATACTAAGTTCCTCCATTCTGGCTCCCAGTTCCATTCCAATATTGAAAAGATGCTCTTAAAATGTCACTAGAAAGCTCCCAAATGGCAAATCATTGGTCTTGATCTTATTTGATTTCACTGTAGCATATGCCATTGTTGAAAATAGCCCATCTTTCTTGCCGTCCTTTGCTTTTAGAACAATAATGTTTTGATTGGCCTCCTACCTACCCAAGTGTTCCTGATCAATCTTCTCTGCTAGTCTTCTACTTTTAGACCCTAAGGAGAGACATTTTCAAAGTTCTGGGTTTGGATTTATTTTTAATAATCCCTCTAATAATCTCTTCCATTTCCAAAGTATTCAATATAATCAGAAATCTCACTAACTCAACCATCTTGTGATGAAATCTACAGTCATATTTCCAAGAAACTTCTGGACATCTTGATATCAATTCTCTGCTACCACTTGCAGTTTCACTTGCCCCAAACTGAATTTGTCTTTTATCACCATTCCTTTTCCTGATCTCAGTAGTATTCTCTCATAACCCAAGTGTCCTCCCAGCTATTCAAAGTCAAAATCCTAGGATTATCCTTGACTCCTGGTTACTTCTCTTTCCCTAAATTATCTCCTTTCGCCTAAGGATATGACAGTAGAATCCTAAGTCATCGCCCACATTCCTATAGATCAAATATCTCAATATATAGCTTTGATCATATTCTTCCACTGCTAAAACGTTCAGTATATTCCCATTGCCTAAAGCCTGGAAAATCCCATGGACGGAGGAGCCTGGTAGGCTGCAGTCCATGGGGTCGCGAAGAGTCAGACATAACTGAGCAACTTCACTTTCACTTTTCACTTTTATGCATTGGAGAAGGAAATGGCAACCCACTCCAGTGTTCTTGCCTGGAGAATCCCAGGGATGTGGTCACACAGAGTCGGACACGACTGAAGTGACTTAGCAGCAGCAGCAAAGAATGATACACCTTAGTCTCTTATTCAAGCACTCTCTGATAGAGTAACAACCTACTTTTCCAGAATTATCTCCATATTTTTACACTTTATATAACCTATTTTCTTAGTAGCTGTGCTATTTGCACTCTCCCAAAATGCTTTGCACTTTCTAAACTCTTAACGATATTTCATCTAACTCAACTGCCCACTATTTCCACCTCCAACTCCTACTGCTGAAATCCATACTTATCCTTCAAAGCCTTTTTCTCCATGATTTTTTCTGACATATTGATATGGCATGATATTTCCCTCCTCAGAACTCACACAGTATGTTATTAACATCTCTTGTAACATCCCCTATTGTCTGCCTTATCCTGTAGTCTTTCTACCTTTATCATTTCTATAAGACACAAGGGTCTTATAACTAAGGAAATTTTAATTATTTTTGGATTTGTCATCATGTCTAACAAAGTACCTTTCACAAAACAGAGGAAGTTGAATGAATGAATGAATGTTTAGGGGTTCATTTCCTAATTTCTGAGTTTGACACCAGCCCAGCCATAATCTGGATTAATATTCAGCCAGTGGGCACTGGGACAGCCATCAGGCTATTCCTTACCCTTGCATGTTCTGATTGGCTGGGGCCCGTGCTATACCAGTTAGTAATATTTTTAAAATCACTACAAATGTGATCCTCTCCCTTAAAATGGCTTTTGTTGCCCTAAACTGCAACGGTACACTCAGCTGAATGGGCTTGGAGGCAATATTTGGGAGCTCTTTCTGAGTGAACTAATGTGAGTTCTTCTTAGGGAGGGGAACATCAGCTCACTGCAGAAGATTTGCAATTTAGGCAACTCTTCATATCATTTATTAACATTTTGATTTTCTAATGAAAAATACAGACTCCCACTTCATTTTCTTTAAATATGGAATTGAAAACACTGCAATTAGATGCACAATTGTAGGGTTATGTATTGTACACGTTGAAGTTTCCATCTGTAAGCAATGATAAGGGGTTTGGCAAGCAGAGCAGTACTTCTTTGCTGTCGGTGGTTGACTTTGATTTCAGATTTTTTTGGCTATTTCCTCTGATTTGACTTGACTTGGAGAAAATAGTCTTCTTTATAGTTTATTTTTTCTGCTTTTATCTCACCATGGTGAAGTAGAGGTTTTTGAACAGGAACAAGGATACTGGGGTTGAACAGGGAAAGTGTAACACTATAAAGTCAATGGGATCTTGGGAAGGAACAAAATAAGGTGCCTAGGAAAGTGAAAACAAAAGGACGCCAGCAGGAAAAGAGGATCTTAGCTAAGAGAGGCAGAAACAGGGAGGCAATGTGGAAAAGCCCCCCAGTTCTGTTGTTTTAAGAAAGAGGGAAGCAGACAAAAGAGTTTTTGGCAGACTTGCAAACTCTGTGCCTGCCTTCCCCTCCCTCTCCCATCAAGCACTTCTACTGCTATCCAAGATGCTTTACCAATCACTGCCACTGTCTGCCTTCTGGTTTCTTCTCACCACTGGACATGTGCATTGGCTGCTGCTCCTTGGAATGGCTGCCAGAGCTAACAGGGCTGATATTTTTGACCCTATGTGCTTGTGGAGGCTCTCCAACTACAAAATAAGAGAGGTCTTAATTTAGATTACTCGCAATCAGTACTAAAAAATTCTACAGTTTGTGAATATATTCTTAGTGTTTTGCAGTTGACAACACTACATTCCCTTAGTACTAAACTCACAGAAACACCATGGAATGATCTCTCTCTTGGTACAGTCTCAGTATGAGGTGTGAGACTAATCAGACAGGGGCCTTAGCAAATGTATTTTAAAAATAAACAGCCTAGAGAGAAGATGGCAGTTCTTTTATGGCACAGAATAAGGTGCTTTTACTTATAAGCTGCTTAACAGAAAACTGCATTGGTAGAAAAATTATTTCAGTTTGCTTTCCACTGACTATAAATGCTCTGATTGTTCAAGAAAGAGCAAAAATGGTTTTTATTTTCCTTAAAAGGTGGAAGGGGCCTCTGGTAGCATGGGAGAATATTTGCATTTTACAGGTCAAGATTGAGGACAGATTAGTAGTGCTCCTGACATTCTACCATACAGCATTACCTTAAAAAATATGGACATATAAATAAAGATGTTAATTTTCTTTCCTTCAGTCTTGCATTCTTTTTGTAGGCCATCTGCAATGTCTTCATCTACATAAAGTAGTCTTACACTCCAACCAAAACATTCTTCTCTCAACAAAATCTAACTTTCAGGCTTATCTACCTACCAGGATTCACTCAAATGTGAAAAAGATGAAATACAACTTACATTGTCTTCTGCCATGAATTTCACCATTGCCAAAAGCTTTTCTGGATCTTTTTTTTTTTTTTTTTTTTTTTTGCATGCTGCACCTAAGGCCCGGCACAGCCAAATAAATTTTATTTTTTTTAAGTGGAGGGAGAATGATGGCAGGCACCAGGAAGCACCAATGTTTCCTAACTCAGGTGTCATGAACCAAACAGCAGTGCAGTTCCCTAGGGTAATGAATTTGCTTGTATGTATTTGAAAGGTGACCACAGAGCTCTTACACTGCTTTCTAAGACTGTTTCTTTGGTGCTTGTTGAAGAATAGTTTTGACTCTTAGGGTCTCTTTTGGTGCTTGCTGACAGATGGTTTTGTATTTCTGCATCCCACAGCATATTAGAGGATGTTCCACATGGTTAATGGTTTCTGTAGCCCAATGGTGGTTCCTGTTAGGAAATGGTTATCATCTCAGAGGGGCCTCTCTGGGGGTGGCTCTCGGAGCATGTGAGATATGTATTTGTCATCCAGGCATCCTCTCATTGTTAGGGAGATGGGGGATGGTGGAGAGATCAGCTGTACTTCCTGTTACTTGGCAGCCTTTTGCACTCATATTCCTGTGCCAGGGACTAAGGGGACAAAGCTTGGTCATTCATTCTTCACTGGGCTTCATGTCTTTCATTATTTAGTTGGGATTACAATAGTTTTGAGAGGAGCCAATTTCCATTTTGCCTTTTCATACTGTTCATGGGGTTCTCAAGGCAAGAATACTGAAGTGGTCTGCCATTACTTTCTCGATGGACATGAGTTTGAGCAAGCTTTGGGAGTTGGTGATGGACAGGGAAGCCTGGCGTGCTACAGTCCATGGGGTCACAGGGAGTCGGACACGACTGAGTGACTGAACTGAACTGAATTTCCATTTTAATGAAATATGATCGTTTCTATTCCAAACATAGGATATTTCTGAATTGTAGACTATACAAGGCAAATCTTACTAATCTAAATTAAGTAGAGTTTCCATATTTACTATTAATTTTCCTTTTTTCATTGACATCTCCATATCACTCTACAGCCCATGAAGAGAACTTTTACAAACAACACATACAATTTCTCTTTCTACTTCAAGAAAGATAGGAATTAAAAATATAAAAATTTCCTTAAAAGAAGTAGATAGCTCAGCCTACTTGGATTATTTTGCAAGAAGTTCTTATTTATTTCAGACATAGGTTATGAAGTGGAAAGATGGATAACTTTCTGGTTCCACTTGAGGGAGGGAGGCTGTTTTGTTTATGTTTTTTCTTCCTGCAAGATCAATTTCATAGTATGGATTTGTTACTAATCTAACACACACAAAAAGGGGTTCCAACACTTTGAGATTTCAGGGGATCTTGGATCATCAGTGCCTCACCTCTCTTCAGTAACATGGAGAATGGATGGCAAAGCCAAAATGACCTCTGAAAAGAAGCATTATCTCAGTTTCCTTACCTGTGACATCCTTAAAGCCAATTACTTGGAATGACTTTAATTACAGTTACGATTTTAAACCATCTTCTAGACAAACCACATGCTCATAAAATAACAATTAAAAATATTTAGTATTAAACACAGTGGGAATCCTTGTTTCTAAACTTTTTTTTGCAAAGCCTACTGTTATGGTGTGGCGAAGAGTCGGACACGACTGAGCGACTTCACTTTCACTTTTCACTTTCCTGCATTGGAGAAGGAAATGGCAACCCACTCCAGTACTCTTGCCTGGAGAATCCCAGGGATGGTGGAGCCTGGTGGTCTGCCGTCTCTGGGGTCGCACAGAGTCGGACATGACTGAAGTGACTCAGCAGCAGCAACTGTTATTTGAAGACACTTTTACAAAGTTAAAACTTGTGATCAGGTAGATATAGAAGCTTCCCGAGACTTCACTTGTGAACTGAGATCAACTGTTTCAAAGAATTATTTTTTTTTCATGAAAAAGGTTTTTTTTTTTTTTAATATTTGGCATTTGGTTCTGAGCATTTACATTCTATAATACCATGTGAGCTAGAATGGCTCTTACCTGGATTCCTTGGAATCCGCTTTCTGCGGTCTCGGAATGCCGCCCCTGATTGCAGGGCTTCCAGAAGATTATCCATCACGCCCGTCTCATCACCCTCTGGAGGAAGGGAAAAATCAGAATTAATCTTGGAGCAATTAAAGTTAAACTACAGGAAAATAAAGCGAAAAACTCCTGTCAGACTTACATAATACCCCTGAATTAAAGACATATATCTGTTTCAACATAATGCATCCTGTCAGTTTCTGGCACCACAGACTACTTTGCTTATTATGCACCATTAAGCAAAATTCATGCCAACCTCACTGTTCTTTCAACTTAAAGACCTTGTCTTTTGTATTACTGATGACATGTTCAGTATGTAAATAAACAGCAGCTGATCAACTACTGTTGCCTTCCTGTTAAGATTCTTATAAGATATTCCTAAGTAAGAAACCACTGACCCAGCTTAATGCAATCAATGTGCAGGGTGTGATTTGATGAAGCAGAGTTACACAAGGTTAAATACTGATTGTATTAATACCTTCAGCATTCAACCATCATCTGCAATTATCTTAAAAGACACTATTTGCAAAACACATTTGCATTCAGCTCCTACCTAATCCATATCCTTTACCCATTTTGAAATACTGATATTGTAGAAGGCAAAAGTGACTACATCATCTGAAAGGCCACATTTTACACTTGAGAGACATTAGCCAGAATCTCATCACCCCTTTTAGAATGCTGTTGTGCTTCTAAGCTTTTCCTATGAGTGGAATACTCAAAAGATGTTCATGGAAGTTCTCAATGGAAACATATATAAAAAATTTCACCCTACTCTTATCTTTGACAATTCTGGCCATCAAAAACACTTTTAAGATTTGTTAGAGCAAGTGTCCATTGCCAGAAACTCTAAGACACTGTGGATAATCCACAGTGAGCTGAGGAGCCTTTTCTCAACAAACCTCACTGATGAAAAGGACTGTCACCAGGTAGTTAATTTGAGTGGTAGCTAATGTATGGGTCTAGGGTAGAAGACATTTGCGAGCAGGAGGGTTCAGAGAAAAGAGTGGGACTGAGGGAGAAGAAATTGTTTCTGATGTTATTCCTAAGTTAAATTTAAATCCTACTTTGCTTAAAGAACTGACTGTGGGGTGTCAGATCATAGGGAAAAAATATTGTCTTATGGGGCAAGAACAAGCTACAATCTTTTTTTATTATGTTCTTCATTTGACTTGAGATTTCCTCAATGTTACAATCATTGTTTTATTTTTAAAATCAATCTCTAGGACAGGACATTGAGTGAAAAAATAGAAGGAAACACAGAGGTTTTCAGGTATAATACTTGATGAAAACAGGAAAAACAAAGGGAAAGTAGAACTCCAGTGACTAAACAAGGAAAGGGGATGTTCACTTTTAGGAATATTAAGGCTGCATACACATCTGAACCATCACCTGCTCTTTACAGTAGAAAGAAAAGAGGAAATGAAGTCTGACATGCCTGGAATGTATCGGGGAGAACTAAATTTTATGTGGTAGGCACTTGACATTGATTATATCTTTTTTTGGCTGCACCACACAGCTTGTGGGATCTTAGTTCCTTGACCAGGGATCGAACTTGGACCTACAGCAGTGACAGTGCTTAAACCACTAGACAGCCAGGGAAGTCCCACTTTGGTGCTATGATCCTCCTAACAAAATATTGAAGCAAATAATATCTTTGGTTTTCAGCTAGGTATACTAAAACTTCGAGAGTATAAGCATCTTGCTCCAGATTACACAGCTGGCATGTGGAGGGGCCCTGGTATGAACCCAGATCAACTGTTGCATGATAGCTAGAAGAAGATGAAATGGACTAGGCATGTGATGGCCACATGATGAAACATCATAATGCTGTTGTTAAAAAGAGCCAACAGGCCCCAAATGGAGTCACCTGTAAAAAGGCTCACATCACCAAATGGAGACTTAATCTCATTGCAGTTTCAGCCTCTCCTAGGAATATAATCTTAATCACTCAGTCTAAAATTTCCTGGTCAACACTAGAAAGGAAGTTTACCTGATAGACCTCCCATTGTCCAACAAAGGAAGGTGACCTTGTCTGAACAATCTTCTTGCTAGAATAACTTCCTTGTCTTGCTTCCTTCTGCCTATAAAAGTCTTCCCTTTTGTACAGCTCTTTAGAGCTCTCTTCTATTTACCAGATGAGATGTCACCCAATTTATGATTCATTTAATAAAACCAATTAGGACTTTATTCAGTTGAGTTTTGTTTTTTAATGCTATGACATGGGTTTGAGCATTATCCTATAAGCCAGCACTAACAAATATATAATACAAACCACAAACGTGGGCCACATAAATAATTTTAAGTTGTCTGTAGCCATATTTAAAAAGATAAAAAGAAACTGGTGAAATGAATCTTAATATATTAATATTTATCTCAATATATACAAAAATTATATATATTTTACATTCTTTTTATCAGACCAAGTCTCATAAATCTAACACAATTTAATTTCAGCATCTTTCATTTCAGATTAGCTACATTTCAAGTGCTCAATAGCAATATGTGGCTCGTGGTTACTGTATTGGGCAGTGCAGCCATAAGCAATATAGGAAGTGACTTGATACTATTTATACTTTAGAAAGACTTGTCAGACAGCACTGTGGAGGATAACTCTGGGGACAGCATGACAGAAGGTAGGGAGATGTTTAGGAGTGTAATGGTAATTCTCTCAGTAAGAGATAAAGGACTGAATTCAAGGGTTAACAGAGTGACTAGAGAGGAGGGATATTTTAAAGGTATTAATACAGTCAACAGGACCTGGCTGGAAGGGTGATATCAAGGGGGAGAAAAAGAGTCTAGAAGACAAAGGATAAACAGGTTTGGAAAAAATGGCTTTTTGAGGAATATCTAAGTAGAGAAATCCAGTAAGAAGTTGGAAATATGAATCTGGAGCCCAGGAGTGAAGTCTAAACTGGAGCTAAAAATGAGAGTGTCATTGGAAGATGGGTGAGATGACCCTGAGATAATGTATGAGAAGGGGCATAGAATATATTTTCTGAGGATCCCAATTTTTAAAAGGCAGTCAGGGGAAAAGAAGACATGGAAGGAGTTTTTAGATACAGAAGTACAACCAGAAGAGAACCAAAGTACAACTAAATTTCTGTATCCTTATAAAAACAGTCATGATGAAGGCTATGTAAAAAGATGAATACATGTATAGGAGTAAAGAGAACAGAATATCAAACATCATTTAACATAAATGATGGGCAAACATGAAAAAAGTCTATAACATAATGATATTATGGATAGCATGTCATTAAAATTCTTTAATACTACTATATTGTTTATGGACTAAAAAGATGGAAAGAACAAATATGACATGAAGTAAAGAGAAATTACAAATAAATCCCTGTGTTTAATTTAGTGGTTGCCATCTGACATCATTTAACAGAATGTTATGTAAGATCACCATTTCTCAACTTTTTTTCCCCCATTTTTGTTCCCTCCTCCCCTAAAGGAGCCTTGTTAGATATCTTTTTCCTAATCCCCCCCCATATTAAAATTTAGTATCACAGATATAACTATATATCTGTTTATGTACTGTGGCCCTTTGGAAAGTCACAGACCATTGTAATATCTAAGATTTTTCTCCTCCCACCTCTCCAATAACCAATATTGATTCCCTTGAGGGTGATATAGCTCCTGCTGAGAAGGCATATGCTAGATGATTCTGTTAAGGAAAAGAAAGAAGAAGAAGAAGCCAGGTCTTGGTGAACCTCAGTAAGGAAAGAAATATAAGTTTCAAACCACTAGCTCACCATTACTTTTTTGTTTGCTTCATAACTTTCAAAGGAACTGAGAGATTTTCATGAAATGTTCAAGCCTAAGGAGTAAAGGTTTTATAAATATATTATAGGTTTGTCTTCTTCAAACAAAATGAAAGTCAACATGATCATTTGAAAGTTACCCTTCATTTTAAATAAATTTCAGCAAAATTTGGTCCATGATCAAATTGTGTGAGGTAGACAGTTCACTTAGATTTTCCAAGTTTACAGAACTATTCATTCTTACTTAGATGTGATTAGCAGTGAGTAGCTGTTTTGACTTTTTAATTTTTTGGTTTATGAGATCAAACTCAGGGGAAAAAAATCTTTTAAGTGTTTTATTTATCATTGAAAAGAAAAATAGCCTTATTGAATTACACAGAAAAATGTGTTTTCTTACAAATTACAGTACCTATTTTACTGAGTGAAAGAATATCAAGGAGAAATTTGGTAATGCCTTTTAGCCACTAAAATGGTAATATACGGGCATGTCTGAGAAATAACAATTCAGAGGTGACTTTCTAATCTTTTATACTGAAATTAGATCACAGACAGTGTTAAGGAGCCAGGAGAGCTGCATGTAATACAATGGGCTCTGTGTGAGCCCACTTATCTTTGGGTAAAATAAAAGGCATGGGTTGTATCTTCTATATCATGTTTCTAATAGTGTTGGCCATTCTGTAGATGCTGAATGCCCAATGATTTCAATTTTCAGCATCATTACTTATCTGTGTGTGTTGACTCAACTTCCCCAGAAGAGTCTGAAGATACCACAGATTAAAATCAACACTAGGTCAAGTAATGAACTCTAGTATACCTTTATGTAAGACTGGCTTCCAATGGCTAACACAAACTTATTCAGAGGAAATGCCCTATGAATTTCTCACATTTGTGCATACTTTGTGGGCACAGGCATTGATGACTACTGTTTTGGACTATCATTTCAAGGATGTTTTTACAGTCAATAGCCTTGAAGATACAATGTCTTCCTCCAGAGCAGAGGGTAGGCTTACTCTGAAGACAGATTATATCTCCCTCTAGGGCAGATGTCAGACAAGTTTGCTTTCAACCCACTATACAAGATTTGGGTTCTCTTAGGTATGGGTTCCTCAGATGGGACACAAATCCACTATGTCCCCAGCACCCACCTGGGCCCACCTTGGCATCACTCTGTGGGAGCTGGAGGACAAGGGAAAGCAATTTGAACATGAAGCCCACACTGCTCTCTGTGCTGTGAGCAACAGACTTCTTTGTCTCTGACCCAAGAATCTTGTGTCTTCTGCCAGC